ACGATGTCAGCGACTCCTGCTAGTCCTTGACTGAATGATAGTGGTAGCTTTGTGCCAACCCCTCAGTACACCTAAACACTACCTCAACCCCTAACCCTAAACCCTAAACTAGACCCCTAAACCCTGATCACCTAGAATCGATGCAAAACGCCGAAGCCAACGCCGGAGGAATCCGGACAGAGGAAGAGCAAGCATGCCCCAAGCATGAACCAGCAAATCAGAATTGAATATGGCGGTGCTTACTTGGAGGTTCGAGAGCAGTTTTCAATGGAGTTACAAGTCCCCTAATATGGGTTATAATGACAGTTACCCTACTAATACCTATGGACTCCCCTTGTAACTACCCATGAACCTTCAAGTAAGAGAAGACACAAGCCTTGGTCTTGCTTAGGACTATAGTTTGGAGACCCAAACCTTCAACAGCAAACCTTAAATCCTCGGTTTACTTGGAGGTTCATGGGTAGTTATAAGTATGGTTATAGGTCCCCTAATATGGGTCATAATTATAGTTACCCTACTTATAACCCCATTTATAACTACCCATGAACCTCCAAGTAGGGTTTAGGGTTTAGGGTGTAGGGTTTAGGGTTTAGGGTTTAGGGTAGGAGGGGAGGTCCTGCTTGAGGATTCTAGATGGAGTCAAAAGTGGGGCGCCCTTCGATTCTGAAGCCCCCCATAATCTAGGCGCTCTCATTAGTGTAATTGGGCTTTGGTACAACTGGGTATTGGTGTACATTGTGCTAAAATTGGTGGGGGCCTTAGGGAGTGGTACTGGAATATAGTATCCCGACTCCTCGTTTATCCAAGCAGCTGGGAAGCAACTTCCCACGGCGGTTCCTGGTGTTCAAGGCTCAGGTACTACTTAGGCTTTAGTAGGGTTTTAGGGTTACTCTTTAAGAGCTGGGGGTTAAGCAGTTGCCACCAGTACTGGTACGTCGCTCCGCAGCCTGCTATGTCTGTAGTAAGGTCCTGCTCTTGTGAAGGGATCTTGACCCAGAACCGGACCCCGAACAGGGTTTAAGGGCTAGGGTCTAGGGAATTGGGGTTTAGGGTTTAGGGCTTAAGGCTGGGATTTTTTAACTAAGAAGATCAAAACACTGATCAAGCGGGTTTTTCAAATTTTTTGCAGAGTTTCAGGCATCCTGGCCCAGTTGGATGCCCCACGTACTTAGATTATAACCTACTACCTACTCAACAGTAACCCTGAACCCCAAGCCCTAAACGCTAAACCCTAAACCCTAAACCCCAAACCCTAAACCCTAGTGCCGGAGAGGTAGATATGCACGGCTAAGGTCTCCGGCTCCAGATTGTGAAGGCTTAGGGCGATGACGTTGATCATCGCTGCTGATGTTTAGGGTTTAGGGTTTAGGGTTTAGGGTTTAGGGTTAGGTAATAAACATGCTCGCTACCGCTACGACCAGCACCCCTCATTGCTCAAGGCGCGAACCCAACCTGTTACGTCACCCTAAACCCTGAACCCTAAACTCCTAAAACCCTAAACTCCTACACCCCTAAACCTATAAACCCTAAACCCTAAACCCCCAAACCCCTAGACCCCTAAACCCCTAACCACTAAACCCTAAACCCCTAAACCCTACGTAAACCCTAACCCCCAATCCCTAAACCCTAAACCACTAAACCCTACGTAAACCCTACACCCTAAACTCATAAAGCCCTAAAGCCCTCAAGCCCTACACCCCTAAACCCCTAAACCCCTAAACGCCTGAACCCCAAACCCTAACCACTAGCGCCCGAAAATGAAAGGCCGACACGGTTTGAGGCTTAGGGTTTAGGGTTTAGGGTTTAAGGTTTAGGGGTTTAGGGTTTAGGGTTTGGGGGTTTAGGGGTTTAGGGGTTCGGGTTTGAGGGTTTGACCCCTGACAACCGAACACGAATGGGCAGTTCTCTAAAGTAGGGTCCCTTTTAGGGTCCTTTTTTTTACGGGTGTCGTACTATTCTAGGGACCTAAAAGGGACCCTGCTGTAGAGAACTACCCATACACAACCCTTCCAGAGCCCTCTAAACTGTTCCGGCCGGGCTGCTTTGGGCTTTCCTTGCCACCACTTTTGAAAGCAGCCTCTCGATGCTTTGGTGTCTGCGTGTTCGGGTTTCGGGTTTAAGGGTCAGGGTTTAGGGTTTAGGGGTTTATGGGTTCAGTGGTTGAAGGGTTTAGGGGTTTAGACGGTTTAGGGGTTTAGGCGTTTCGGGGTTTAGGCTAAGTAAGGGCTTAAAGGTCTACGGAAGTCTTCTAGCGGCTTATGTGCTTGGCCAAGCCTAATCTTTTAGGCTTTGAGCTCTTTTGAACCAAAGCTTGGGGGGTATATGACTACTAGAGTTAGAGTAAAACACAAAAAAGTGAATACTGGATTAAGGACAAATAGTGCTATACACTACTCTTAAGGATTGAGGCTATTGGGTTTCCAACTTTTGGGCTTCTACCATATATAAGAACGCAACTGCACGGAGATACTGTTTTCAACTAAACCCTAAACCCTAAACCCTAAGAGCATGGCCAACATGCTTTCCCTCACATGCTGCCGGGATTCACTCAAGGCCTTTTCCCGGTGTGCGCACGGCACCCGTCGCCCGTGCGCGCTACGCGCTCACTCTAGTCAGCTCTCTTTAGCGTAACGTTCGAACTTTAGATCAGATACGTGCGTCACACTCTTTGCGGAATCGGACTGTCGCACAAGCCCCTACCCAGGACCTTACCTCCTAAATCTCCAACCCCTGTTACACGCCCAAAACCTAAACCCCAAACCCTAAGACCTCAACCTCAAGCCCTAAAACCTTCCTAGACCCCAAACCCTAAAACCTAAACCCGGAAACCCTAAGCCCCAAACCTTACACCCTAAACCTTAAACCCTAAACCCGAAGCCGAAAACCCAAGAAGCCATTCGCAGAGTCAACGGCCTTGGAGAGATGCATGAAAGCCGCTGGCAGCAACCTGAAATCAGTTGAGGGCTTTGGGTTCAGGGTTTAGGGGTTTAGGGGTTCAGAGGTTTAGGGTTTATGGGGTTTAGGGTTCAGCAGCTCCGGATCGAGCAGTATCAAGGTAACGTTGGATTTACGGCTTTGATATAAAACCCACCCAGACAGGTCGGTTCAACAGTTTCTTTTCAACAATGACTTGTCTATTTTGGGTTTAGGGTTTAGGGTTTAGGGTTTAGGGTTTAGGGTTTAGGGGTTTTGGCAGTACTATTTCGGGTTCACCCTACTATTTCTTAGGGTTCGGACTGTCATGTTCGGGTTCGAACTAGTACTTTAGGATTCGGACTGCCATTTTAGGGTTCGGACTACTCCTTTTAGGATTCGGATTACTAGTTTGGGATTCGGACTACTATTAGGATTCGGACTACTAATTCAGGGTTCGGACTACTATCTTCGGGTTCGGACTACTACTGTTGATAATAGGTTTAAACCCTGCATTACCTTGAGGACCCAAAACTATGGGAACTATGGTCTATTCCATATTATGGGGAAAGCCTAAACCCTAAACCCTAAACCCTAAACCCTAAACCCTAAACCCTAAACCATGTTTTAGGGTTCGGACTACTATATTAAGGTTCGGCCAGCGGCCTTCGGTTATGAATGTTGGGCCATGTGCCACGACAGGTAATTGACCCTGGGCCGCGAAGTCATTAAAGTTTAAACTCATATAAGAAACAGAGGTTTAGGGTTTAGGGATTAGGGCTTTAGGGTTTTAGGGTTTGGGGTTTAGGGTGTAGGGTTCGCGGCTTCCGGGTTAAGGGTTCAGAGGTTCTCTAAACTCAACGAGTCCTGAACCCTTCCACCCCGAGGCCCTGAAACTCCAAAACCCTAAACCCTAAACCCTAAACCCGAAACCCGAAACCCCTCAACCAGGGAATGGGCTTACGAACGGTTTAAGGATTTGGGGACGTCGGGCTAAGGGTCTTGGGGTTTTGGGGTTTAGGTTTGAAGGTTTTGCGGTTTTGGGGCTGAGGGACATCCCCTCCGATCCAAAATCGGAGTACTATCTTTCATGACCTCTTGGGTTATTACAGATCCTGAAAAAAACACAACGGCTCTAACGAACATGCAGTTTAGAGGTGTCCCTAGATTCTCCCCCTCCACCATAATAAGGCTTTCAATCCTAGACCCGACACCCTAAACCCTAAACCCTAAACCCTTAAACCCGGATTGCAAAGCTAAAGTTTGGATCCTTTCCGAGGCGGCCACATGCAGACCAACACGGTGGCGGTCTCGATGATGAAGGAGCGCCCTCCCGCCGGGATGGCCTGTGGTTGAACTTCAGTTTAGGGTTTAGGGTTTAGGGTTTAGGGTTTAGGGTTTAGGGTTTAGGGTTTATGGTTTAGGATGAAAAGCTACCTCAAACTACCATAACCGGCTTCTTTGTCGGGTGCCTGTGAATATCTGAAATAGGGTTTATGATAAGAACCTACAACAAAAGCAGGCTATGGTAGTTTGAGACAAGGCTTAACGCTCAGGGCTCATGGTTTGTATTTAGGGTTGATAGAATTTACGGGACTCAGGGTTTAGGGTTTTACTTGGGGCTTGAGCCCCGAAACCCCCTGCCAGTAAGAACCCCAAACCCTGCAAAGTCATGCGCTGAACCCCATATCGAAGCCTTATGCCTTGCAAAAATCCCCGGTTCCCTAAACCCTAACCCCTAAACCCCTAAACCCTAAACCCTAAACCCCTATACCCTAAATCCCTCAACCCGAAACCCCTAAACCCCTGAACCCTAAACCCTCAACCCTAAACCCCTGAACCCTAAACCCGGGCCCCTGACTCGAAAACCCGAAGCCCTCTCAGGCTACGGCTGGCACGGGTCGCACGTTCGAATGACCC